CCCTGCCTCTCCCGTTGTCTCTGTTTCTCTCGGTCCCTCTCTCTGTCTCTTCCTCTTTTTATGTATCATTTTGTCATGTGGATTACTGTAAATTTATTATGTTGATCTGTTCTGTACACATGACATCTATTGCATGTCTGTCTGTCCTGGAAGAAGGATCCCTCCTCAGTTGCTCTTCCCAAGGTTTCTACCATTTTTTTATCCGCTGTGAGGGTCCAAGGATAGAGGGATATCCTATGCTGGAAAGCCCTGTGAGGCAAATTGTGATTTGTGATATTGAGCTTTATAAATAAAATTGAACTGAATTGAATGAGCTATCATGCATAAATTTAACAATTATTTTCATACAGTCATATTTATTGGGATTAGGGCTGGGGCGATTCATCAACGTAATTGACATCATGGGTTATTGAAATATGTCGATTTGCAAAACATGTGTCTGCGTGTCGCAATATAGTAAGCTACACCCCGCCAAAGCATGGATCCCTAAGTGTTCTGCATGAACACATGAAGCGAAAACATCCCGTCATGCTTCATGAAGACAGCAGCAAGAAAGCACCATCCTGTTTACTCTTTGTCCCAGTCCAAGCATGATATATTAGGATTATCAATGATTTTATGTTATTAGCAGTCACTTAATCTTTCTGCATTGCCGCTAATTCTTTAGCATGCATCATCTAACGCTGTTTACTTCAACGGGCATGCACAAGTGAGAAAATGGTTTTAACATTACAGACCATTGTTACAGTCTGGTATTAGTTTTAGTTATCTTTCTCGACCCACACTGATGCAAAATACATTTACCATTTATGATCTAAACTGCATATTACTGCAGTGATGAAAAAAATCCAAGTCATAACCATTTTAAGTTTCAATGCAAGTGCTCAAGGAAAATACTGGTTTTGCAGTTGAGGGAAATTGCTGCTGTGATATACAATGATTAAATTAATCTATGTGTCACAGTAATAATAATAATAATAATAATAATGTACAATATGTTTTTAAAAAAAAGCAGCAAAAACAGGTTTTAAAGAAAACAGATACAAAACTACAAAAAAAAGTGTATAAAAACTGTCCATCATTGGAACACTGCAGTTTTCTCCATGGCAATCCACGTCATTAACATCTGGCATTGCACTCACACATCTCAGAGCGTAGTCTAAGTACAGTCAGATTCTCTTAGCACCGCAGTCAGTGTTGGGTGTAACGTATTACAAAGTAATGCGTTATTTCAATTACATTAAATTTGTCCGTAACGCATTACTGCTCTAAATTCAATAATCACATAATCACATAAAAGAAGACCCACGTGCCGGTTCCTGGTGTGCTGGTCAGCTACAGCGGCAGAGAGAGACGCACCAAACCATGGCCTCACAATAGACACACCAAAACATGGCCTTACAACAGATACACAAACACATGGCCTTACAACAGATGCACCAAACCATGGAGAGAGTTATGCATAAGAACGGGACTGTGTCTAATCAAAAAATTAGGATGTTAATTGTGCTACACAAGTTCTTTAGATATGTGCATAATGTATGCTGAGAACAGCGATGCTGTTCAGTGGGCCAGTGGAGAGGTTCCCCAGGCTGGGCAGTCTGAGCTGACTCTGAGGAGGACTGGGTTGGCTGACAACCCATTTGAGTATCTCCTCCCAATGAGGTAAAACCACGTCTTTAGTGATAAACATGTCAAATAAGCCGGACTAGTCTGGCCATGGTTTCGTGCTTCTGTTCTAAGGCCATGGTTTGGTGTGTCTGTTGTGAGACCCTGGCTTGGTGCGTCTGTTGTAAGGCCATGATTTGGTGCATTTGTTGTAAGGCCATGGTTTGGTGCATCTGTTGTAAGGCTATGTGTTTGTGCATCTTTTGTAAGGCCATGTTTTGGTTTGTCTATTGTGAGGCCATGGTTCGGTGCGTCTGTTGTAAGGCCATGGTTTGTTGTGTCTATGTAAGGCCATGGTTCGGTGCGTCTGTTGTAAGGCCATGGTTTGTTGTGTCTATGTAAGGCCATGGTTTGGTGCGTCTGTTGTAAAGCCATGTTTTGGTGTGTCTATTGTGAGGCCATGGTTTGGTGTGTCTATTGTAAGACCATGGTTTGGTGTGTCTGCTGTAAGGCCAGGTATTGGTGTATTTATTGTAAGACCATAATTTGGTGCATCTGCTGTAAGTCCATGTTTTGGTGCATCTATTTGTAAGGCCATGATTTGGTGCATCTGCTGTAAGGCCATGTTTTGGTGCATGTGTTGTAAAGGCCATGACTTGGTGCATCTGTTGTGAGGCCATGGTTTGTTGCATCCGTTGTAAGGCAATGGTTTGGTGAGTGAGCAACTAGAGTAAGGTTTGTTTAAGTGTGTTTGGCCTGTTAAATACCATTCATATGGCATTTACATACACTTTTTTTTCCTTTTAAGTCTGTCATCTAACAGTGTTAGTACAGCCAGTCCTTAATATCATTTTATTTAGGCCTATTCATATATTCATTTGAAGCAATTTATCTTTGTACTAGGCATTGTAAAGAAGGCCAGTCTCTTTTAAATATTGATATAGTTTAATTTTGAGGTAGTTAGAGCCTTCTACAATGCTGTCGTTATGCTACTGATCTTTGTTTTGTGCTGATATGTGGGCATATGGAAGGTTTAATGTTATATTATTGTTAACCTGCAATTATGTGACAAAGCATCTCAGGCAGTGTTGCAGAATAACGCAAAGTAATATAATGAGTAGAGCCACAAATTGAAGTATCGAGCAATGGGTAATACATTATTTTTTGTGAATTCTTCCTCACATCTTTCCTTTACCTCATGAAGTTTTCCATCAAGGTCTAGGAAAAGAGCTTGAGAATAGGGCTGTCACAATAATTGCAATACTGTACTACTGTGTGACTGACAAGCCAATCCCAGGGGATGGTAAGCAACTGACACAACCTCTTTGTTAATTTTTTTTATCTTTTTTTTTATTGGAGCTCTGCATATTAACACTATGCTAAATTGTATGCTACAAATGCCAGCTGTGTGATGAGCTGCTGAGTGTCTCTTCTGTGCTAAGCATGGCACATTTGCCATTTTTTTACTGGTCTCCAAATGTTGACAGATATTCAACTTTGGGAAAAACCATGCAACTGCCCATCATCGTTACTTTTTACCCAACCGTCCAATCACAATCAGTGGAGGAATTGTGGGACAAAGATCACAAAGCCAAAGAGTCACATAATGGAACAGCAACAATTGAGAATAAATTGATACTGAACCCTCACAGACTGGAGGGTCTGTGTCCATCCTCTCTCCCTATATGCTTCAGCCTTCCCCTCATCCACAGCACACAACACAACACAAAGGATTTTTTTCGACCGTTCAACTGCTGCTCAAAACTATCTACCACTGTTAAAGATGGAGGTGAAAAAAAAGGGTCACTAAATATCAGACAGTAAGGTTACCTCCTTGAGATAGTACAGAGTAAGTCTGTACAAATATTTTTATTTTATTTTTTAAATTTTATATACTTTATTAATCCCCGAGGGGAAATTCAGTTTTTCCACTCTGTCAATTACACACAGGTCCAAACACACACATGCACAAACAGCACCTATACATGCACTAAGTGGAGAGATGTGAGGGGGGGATGTGAGAGTGAGGGGGCTGCCCATGACAGGCGCTCCGAGCAGTTGGGGGGTTCGGTGCCTTGCTCAAGGGCACCACGGCAGTGCCCAGGAGGTGAACTGGCACCTCTCCAGCCATGCTCCATATTTGGTCTGGACAGGGAATTGAACAGGTGATCCTCTGGTTCCCAACCCAAGTCCCTATGGACACAAATATTGATACATATCTCATAATTATCAGACTTTGATCCTCTGCCTGACCCTCACTGTAGCCAAGGCTATTCATTCATTTAAAAAGGCCTTGGCTGTTTAATTGTTCTGTATCATCACACTATTATTGACATGGGGTGGCAGTAGCTCAGTCCATAGGGACTTGGGTTGGGAACTGTAGGGTCGCCTGCTCAATTCCCCGTCCGGACCAAATATGGAGCATGGCTGGAGAGGTGCCAGTTCACCTCCTGGGCACCCCCCAACCACTCGGGGCGCCTGACCAAGGCAGCCCCCTCACTCTGACATCCCTCCACCTTAGATCCTGTTTGTACATGTGTGTGTCTCTGACAAAAAAAAATAATTTTAAAATTAATAAAGTATATAAAATTAAAATTAAATTAAATTACGATTTTAATACAAAGTGGTAACCACTGCATGTGAATGCATGAATGGGTCAGACCTCTGCAGCACTGGATTTGAAATGAAATGTAATAAACAGGAGCTTCTGAGCTTTGATTACCTGCTGTGAAACAACATGACCCTCATCCATTTAAAATCAACATTAGTTATTTGAGCTCATTTTGGTCAAAGTAATGCAAAAGTAGTGTAATAAGTAAATCATTACTCTACAAACAGAATAATATTGTAAAGTAACGTATTATCTTCAAATGAAGGTAACTAGTAATATGTCATACATTACAATTTAAGAGTAACTTTCCCAGCACTGGTCTTATCTTAAGCTGCTGACATGCAGACATGACCTACCAACAGTCTGCCATTATCAACACCAGTGGACCATTATACAGGTTTTGTTAGTACATATGATATCACCATTTAAAGGTCTAATTATTTTTTCAGAAGTAATGAATGTTTAATACACCACTAATGCAAGATGCTACTGAATTGGGTGGTTCTTTCTTTAACAGTTAAGGAAGTTTCCTTCATTACTGAGCGGTTTTCATGAAGAACTCTGGCAGGACATTTCTAACAAGGAAACTGCTGGTATGTGATTATTATATTGTGTTTAGACCGGGCAAAGAAAGAGGTTAATGTTCAGGAGAATTACTGACAGGGAATAGAATCAAAAGAGGGAAGTAAATGAAAGATAAAATGACTGTGGCAATGGACAGGTATGTGTAGACACAAACAGAAATAACAGAGGAATTTAAAAAACAGTTATTTTGGCCTACCTGTTCTGGATGTGATGTCCACTTTGACCATCTCTTCTATTGCTTCCTCTTTCCTTTGCATCTTTTTCTTCTCTCTCTCTTTCCATCCATCCACTGCATCCAGAGCATGATCCACAGCCACAGCCTCACGACCTTCCCTCTGGAACATGCTACTGCTGTCATCAAGAGGGATGGCAGAGACAAGCCTCATGTCCGGTAATGACTGGGATGACTGGTATTCACCTGTTTCCACATTCGCAGGGGCAGTTGCTTCATCTGGACTGGGAATGGCCACAGGAGTCAAGTCCCAGGAGGTAACAGGAAGCGTTGAGTCACAAGTATGCGCCAAAGTAGGAATCTCCCCTTCACATGGTGTTTTAACCTGACCATCCAGCTGTGGATCCCTCTCATGCTCTCCAGTTTGACGGTCTGAGTCTGACATGCTCTCAGGTTCCTTACACTTTGAACTGTGTAGACTGTCCTGCTCATGCGTCTGCCTTCCTACGACACCATCAGTTGTTATGGATTCTAAAGGGTGACTATTATCTTCATCATGTTGTATCACACTCTCTTCCTGACAGACAGACTGATCTTGGGGGCCTCTATGATTCTCCTCAGAGCCATGGCAAAATATGTCAGACACCTCTGGATGTTGTCCTGGGTCTATAACAGGACAGGGGGGGATTTCTACCTGCGTGTGACTTTGACTGTCCACCTCGGTTGTAATAATTTCATTTGCTTCTGGCAAAGGTTTCATATTAACTTGTAGTTTGCTGTCTTCTTCTTGAAATTGTAAACACTTAGAGACTTCTGCAGTTTCTGACTGGACGTCCTCTTTGTCAAGTTGGTGTAAACTTGGAGCATCTCCATGTGCTGACAGGTCAAGGTTAGTCTGCTGGTCAACACTTAGCTGTGCTGTTGATAGATTTTCTGTCTCAGTGGTAGAAGGCAACACTACAGAATCAGACTCCTGTGATATTTCAACATCAGCTTGTTCTTTAGAGGCAAATGGATTAGTAGGTACAATGTGTGAATGTTCTACAGGTTGGTGTCCTGTCTCAGCTGCTAACAGTTGACAGGATTCTCTATCTTTGTTAATCGGCTGTGTGGACTGATCATTGTTGAGTAAATCATCTGCCAGCTGGTTTAATGACTGTTCATTCTCTGACCAATTGTTTGCTAATTGTTGGCTCAGTTCTATGCTAGCCATGGCAGATGCTACTGCTACTGCTACAACTGCTACTGCTGTGGCAACTAGGTCTTCACTATAGTTCTGCTCTTGTTCGCTGTCCATGGGAGATAACTCCTTAGCATGCACCATCCCACAGTCATAATCATCGCTCCTACTTCTTCCCTTACCTGCTTCCTCCTCACCCACCCACAACTCATTTCTTTTTTCCTCCTTGCTCTGCTCATCTCTCAGCATCTCACAGCCCAAACAATGCTCTAGATTTTCCCTCCCAGTTGTCTCAGGGCATCCCTCCCGTATTTGTGGTGGTGAAACATCCGCTTTACCTTTAAACAGCAGATCCCCAGCTTCTGTGGCACACAGAGGTTCCATAACTCCTACAGGTCTTCCCATGGGATTCACAGGTCTTACTTGTTTGTTTGACTCCATAGATTGTACATTTTGTGTATGTTTTTCAGGAAAATCCTCAAGAAACGAGTCCTTTGTGAATTCCGTACAATCTGGAAGTATGACAGGAAGTTCCTTTGCACAGTTAGATTCCACCAAACCTGTGTGGCCCACGAATGTAACAGCTTTACCAGCAACTGTCAGATCCTCAGTTTCTGACAATGCCTTTGACCCCACATTATCCACAGTAAATTGGACCCGACTGGCAAGCCCCTTTAATTCCAGCTCTGTAAGGTCAAGTGTGTCCATATTTACCTGTTGCACAGTTTTTATTTCCTCTATATCTGCCTTTCTGGTGTCCATTTGACTAAGTTGTGAAGCAGTGACAGCAGAGTTCAGGTCAGAATGATCAAGCCCATGAAAATCTAGGTCATCATCCTCCAATAATTCCTTCGTTTCTGGTGTCTGTAAAGCTGTAACTTCAGTCAGATTTGTTCTCTTGTCATCTGTTGGACTGAAGTCTGGAGTCATATAACTTGGGTCCAAATTGGTGACTTCACAGTCAGGTCCATGTGCATCCCTAGTCTGCCACTCTGTCTGGCTAGGTAGATGCATGGCGTCCTCGTCAGCTTCCTCTCTTTGGGTTGGAGAACGGACGTCTGCCCTTTCTGTTTTATCCTTGGCTTCTGAGTCAGTCCCTGACTGGGTGTTCAGGTCTGTCACTTGTTCTCTCTGTGTCTTTATCTCTATCTGACTCTGAGACTCTATACTGGAGCTGGAGCTGAGCTTGGCCTGTGCGCCCCCTCTCTTCCCCCTTTTCTTCCTCCTCTTTTTTCTGCCCTTTGCTCCTCTTTCTTTGTTCCCTTGCTTCTCTCCCCTTCCGTCTTCGATGTCTGCCGTTTCAGGACTCTTTATGCTGTAAGTCCTCTCTCTATTACTGACCTCCCCTCCATCTCCGTCCACTCCTCCCTCCTTCCAATCTGGCCTTACTTCCTCCTCACGCTGTGGTCCATGTACTTCCCGTCTTTGTGGACCAGGCCCATGTGACAGTGCTGGCTGTGTTCCAGCAGCATGTGGCTGACTAAGAGCTGCAGACAGTTGATAAGAAGTAAGATCCTGTTCTAACAGCTGTGGAGAACTAAGACCAGAAGCTTGGGCTAAGCTCAAATCACATGTTTTCTGCTTTCTCATTCCCTGCTCCGGCTGTTCCTGTTTTTTCTGATCCGTTGTTTCACTGTCATACCAAACTGACTGGGAGTTTACTTCCTTTCTGTTCCAGTCTTCATTGGCATCCTGGTCTACGCTTTCACCCTGATACCAGATGGTTTTGACCACAGTTTCAGGTTCATGTGGGGCAGATCCCATTCTGCTTCCAATCCAGCCTCCATCCTGCCACAGCCCTTTCCAAGTTTTTCTTTCTTTGTCTGAAGACGTGGGGCTGGTCCTCCTGCCAGCCTGAGGAGTGTTGTTCATGGTGTCAAGTTGGCTTGGCTGCTCTTGGTCTGGCTGGCTTTCCTGGGGATCCTGGGATTGTTCCTGACCCATGGAACCTGAAGAAACACTAGTTTAAATTAGGGATTGTAAAAGAATCTTTCGACACAAACACTCAAAGGAATCACCGGGTTCATGTGTTTCTTTTAATGACAGCAGTCAATAACAACTGAACTGTGTGCGCATCGGGCAGAACCCGCCATGTGCAATACAGAGCGCAGAGGAGAATTGTTAACGGGCGACCATGAAGAGACAGAAATGACATGCCGCTGTGTAAATAAGACAAATAACAAGGCTATTTAGTTTTTAATACAAGGACAAGGTATAGACCTGTTTGACAGGAAAGGTAACCTTAAATGACTTCTGTTGTGATCTGGCGCTATATAGAAAATAAAATTAACTTGACCTTCAAGGGGAGGCGGGGGGTGCCATTGGGGGGGCGGGGCACCCCCCTTATATAATGGTAGGGGAAAAACTGCACTCTGGACTCTGCCCTCTGCCCGGATTTTATCACTATGCCTCTGTGCCAGCCATAGCCGTGGCCAGAGGCATTATATTTTCGGGTTGCCCGTCTCTCCATACAGCCGTAGGCTCGCTGCGAACAACACTCGACTCTGTAGCTCCTCTTAAAAAGAAGTTAACAAAGCAAAGAAAGTTCGCTCCTTGGTATAACTCTCAAACCCGTAAGTTAAAACAAATATCGCGAAAATTTGAAAGGAATTGGCGATTAACCAAACTGGAAGAATCTCGTTTAATCTGGACAGACAGTCTCAAAACTTATAAGAGGGGCCTCCGCAATGCCAGAGCAAACTATTACTCAGCATTAATAGAAGAAAACAAGAACAACCCCAGGTTTCTTTTCAGCACTGTAGCCAGGCTGACTGAGAGTCAAAGCTCTATTGAGCCTTGTATTCCTTTAGCCCTTAGCAGTAATGATTTTATGAGCTTTTTTAATGACAAAATTCTAACTATTAGAGGCAAAATTCATGACCTCCTGTCCTCAGATAGTACCTATCTAACCTCAAACACAGCTGTAAGACCTAATATATATTTAGATTGCTTCTCCCCAATTTCTCTTCAAGAATTGACAGCAGTGATTTCTTCATCTAAATCATCAACGTGTCTCTTAGACCCCATCCCAACTAGGCTACTTAAGGAGGTCTTTCCTTTAGTTAACACTCATATATTAGATATGATCAATATATCCTTATTAACAGGCTATGTACCACAGTCTTTTAAGGTAGCTGTAATTAAACCTCTACTAAAAAAGCCCACCCTGGATCCAGAGGTGTTAGCCAACTATAGACCAATATCTAATCTTCCCTTTATGTCAAAGATCCTTGAGAAAGTAGTCGCAGACCAGCTGTGTGATTTTCTCCATGATAATAATTTATTTGAGGAATTTCAGTCAGGATTTAGAGTGCATCATAGCACTGAGACAGCACTAGTTAAAATTACAAATGACCTTCTGATTGCTTCAGACAAAGGACTTGTCTCTGTACTTGTTTTATTAGATCTTAGTGCGGCGTTTGACACAATTGACCATCAAATTCTACTGCAGAGACTGGATCACTTAATTGGCCTAAAAGGTTCTGCACTAAGCTGGTTTAAATCTTATTTATCTGATCGTTTTCAGTTTGTTGACGTTCATAATGAATCATCCTTACGTACCAAAGTTTGTTTTGGAGTTCCGCAAGGTTCTGTGCTCGGACCAATCCTATTTACTCTATATATGCTTCCTTTAGGTAACATCATTAGAAATCACTCTATAAATTTCCATTGTTATGCGGATGATACTCAGTTGTATTTATCGATGAAGCCAGAAGAAAGTAATCAATTAACTAAACTCCATAACTGCCTTAAAGACATAAAAACTTGGATGAGCACCAATTTCCTGATGTTAAATTCAGACAAAACTGAAGTTATTGTTCTTGGCCCCAAACAACTCAGAGACTCTTTATCTGATGACATAGTTTCTCTAGATGGCATTGCTCTGGCCTCTAGCACTACCGTAAGAAACCTCGGAGTAACATTTGATCAAGATTTGTCTTTTAATTCTCATTTAAAACAAACCTCACGGACTGCATTTTTTCATCTGCATAATATTGCGAAAATTAGGCCTATCCTGACCTGAAAAGATGCAGAAAAATTGGTCCACGCTTTTGTTACCTCAAGGCTGGATTACTGTAACTCTCTATTATCAGGTAGCTCTAGTAAGTCCTTAAAAACTCTCCAGCTAATTCAGAATGCAGCAGCACGTGTACTAAGGAACTAAGAAACAAGATCATATCTCTCCTGTTTTAGCTTCTCTGCACTGGCTCCCTGTAAAATCCAGAATTGAATTTAAAATCCTACTGTTAACTTATAAAGCTCTAAATGGTCAAGCTCCATCATATCTTAGAGAGCTCATAGTGCCATATTATCCCACCAGAACACTGCGCTCTGAGAATGCAGGGTTACTCGTGGTCCCTAAAGTCTCCAAAAGTAGATCAGGAGCCAGAGCCTTCAGCTATCAGGCTCCTCTCCTGTGGAATCATCTTTCTGTTGCGGTCCAGGAGGCAGACACCGTCTCCACATTTAAGACTAGACTTAAAACTTCCCTCTTTGATAAAGCTTATAGTTAGGGCTGGCTCAGGCTTGCCTTGTACCAGCCCCTAGTTAGGCAGACTTAGACCTAGTCTGCCAGAGGACCCCCTATAATACACCGGGCACCTTCTCTACACCTTGTACTGTTATTATACACATATGATTATTGTCACACATGTATACTATCAGATATTAATATATAATTATTAATTATAATATTATTACTTTCATTAATGTTGTTGTAAGCTACTGTCATTACCGTCTGTCCTGCATCTCTCTCTGTCTCTGTCTCCCTCTCTTTCTGTCTCATTGTGTCATACGGATTACTGTTAATTTATTATGTTGATCTGTTCTGTACGACATCTATTGCACGTCTGTCCATCCTGGAAGAGGGATCCCTCCTCTGTTTCTCTTCCTGAGGTTTCTTCCTTTTTTTTTTCCTTTTTATTGTTTTTTTTTGGGGAGTTTTTCCTTATCCGCTGTGAGGGTCCAAAGGACAGAGGGATGTCGTATGCTGTAAGGCCCTGTGAGGCAAATTGTGATTTGTGATATTGGGCTTTATCAATAAAATTGATTGAAATTGATATGACCGTCCATCCCATACTTGCAAACACGATGGCCTCTAGTTTCGCAGACCGGGCGAGGCGGAGGCGCAGCGCATCTGCGCTTCACCAACTGGGTGTGGCCAGGCGGATTTTGCAAGTGTGGCACACCATACGCACTGGTGCAGCGACTCCTCTTTCCCACCTCCGTCCCTCCTACCTGCGCAAGTCGGAAAGAGGGAGGAGAGAAGGCATGGGGTGGGTTTTACACACATCATACCAATCGATTGAGCCCCTCTCCGCGCCCTTAAAAGCGCCACGTGAAGGCGTAATGAGAGTTTACTCAATTCAACATGGCAGAAGAGAGCAGCAGCATCAGACGGCCAAACTTCTCCCAGGAGGAAACTGATGTGCAAGCAGACGTCCACGGGCTGATGATGCAAAGGTAGCCTGGGAGGAGGTCACCACAACTGTAAATCAATGTTGCATTTCTCTCGTGCGCGCATGCGCTCTCTCTTTCTCTCTCGCAGTCTCACTCTGTTTGTTTTCTTTTGGCTTTTCTCTCCCTATCTGATACTGTGGCTGTTTGTGGTTGGCTGAGATGTATGTGAACTCGTTAGTTTGCGGCTGTGTTAATCAAATCAAGTTGGGTTTCCATTACGCGTGCCAAACGTGCCAAACGGTGCCAGTCCCCTTTGATCTGACATCAGATGTGACTGGACAGTCGATATAGAGATACATTTATGTGCTGACTGCAGATAGATGCATTGAATAGTGTTTTTTGTGGGTATTTATTGCATTATTAATGTGCCTGATATTCTGGAAACCTGCCTGTGAGGTTTTGGTGACGTGTGTGCACTGTCCGCCCGTCAGCCAAACTTCGGCTTACACTGGCTGCGCTCTGCCTGCGCTGACAGTAGACCTGGTTTCAGCTGGCGAGCTTTTAGCGCACCTTCTGCGAAGCCTTTTGGCACGAAACTGTCACTGCACCAAGCTGGATCTGTCAACACCTCCCCCTGCTGCGCCGCCACACCCATCTCAGCATACCTCGGTCTGCCAAACTACTAAACTGAGTGCGCCTCGTGTTGCGCTGCTCGAAACTAGCTCTGCGCGGGGTTCGCCACCCTGCGCCACCCTGTGCCGTGCAGGGAAACTAGAGGGAATTTTTTTTTCTTCAAAGTTGTCCCAACATTCACTTATACTCAACAATGAACTGGTTAGATTTTGGTGGTCAAAAGGTCAAGGTCACTGTGACCTTGTCCATCCCATTCTCATGAATGCAATATCTCAAGTATGCCTCAAGAGAATTTCCTCGAATTTGGCACAAACATCCACTTGGACTCACCAATGAACTGAGAAGAATTGGGTGGTCAAAGCACAAAGGTCAAGGTCACTGTGACCTCACAAAACATGTTTTTGATGAAATGATGAAGTGATGACATTTTATTTCCAAAATGTCAAAGGTCAACTCCACTGTGACATCATAATGTTATGCCAAAACATTGTTCTGGCCATTATTAAACATCTTTTCCCAGCAACAGAGGAGAGACATTTGGTCAGATACTGTACTGGTGACACTAATCTTGAAACTGTGCTGATTATATACATCCTCTGTGCTGCCATGGGGTACATGTGTGTGAAGCATCCATGTTTTCACACACATGGATGTAAATTACAAACTTGGTGTACAAAGACATTCAACTGAATCTGGGGCTAACTTTCACTTTCACTGGCAAGCACTTAAGAAGAAGAGTGATGCAGAGTTGGCCTGTTTCCTGCTGGACAGTTAGGTGCCAGTGGTTATCAAAGTAAGCTTGATAAAGTCTGGGCTTTTCCATCACAACAAATGTAACATTCCTACACTGGTGGCTTGTAGTGTGCTTACAAACAAAGTAGGGAGGAGAGATCAAGTTTGAACATTTTTACAAAAAGTAACTAACGATTCTGGCATACTATCCAGTTTACCATTTTTCCCTCTTTTAGTTTGACTGATACTGACCTTTATGATCACCTGACTGCTAGTGGGGTTTTTTTAGGGCCCGAGTCGCAGACGGGTCTCTTGAAACTGAAGGACTATTATTTTTCTCAGAAAAGAAGCACATTTTTGAGGGGCTTAGGGGACTCGAAAACTCATGAAACTTTGCACACACATGTAAACTGGTGAAAATTTACATCTGATAGGGGTCTGGTTGACAGGTGTCAAAATGGCTCAGTAGCGCCCCCCCATAAAATTTTGACAGATCAGCCCCCAGAGCTGGTCTCACCGATATACGAAAATTGGTGGGCACATGTAACAACCCCAACACATAAAAAAAGTCTCGTGGAACCATACCGTAAACCCAAAAGGAAGTCAGCCATTTTGAATTAAATGCGTAATGTTTGTGCATTTTAGGCCTTTTCCAAGGGTCGTACTTTAACGAACTCCTCCTAGAGATTTACTCTGATCAAATATGGTCTGTCCCATCTAAAGACCTTAAAGATGAAAAGTTATTATAAGCTTGAGCTTTCGTCAAACCGTGTGACCTTGGCGAGGTGTCAAACTTCTGTTTCACCACCAAACAGGAAGTGGTTTGTAACTCCAGCATACATGGTCCAATCTGCCCCAAACATGTTTGATGACTGTCCTGCCCTGAACACATCTACGTGCCAATAATCAGCTATAGTTACAGCGCCACCTACTGGCAACAAAAATACATACATACATTGATGTACATCTCCTATAAAGTTGACCAGATTCACGTCAATTTCGGCCAAAACAGCCATAAGACCTTGGTGACAGTTTAGCACCCCCAAGTTGTGCAGAGGTGAGAGGTCCTGTTCATCACTGCTTGCAGCTTTAATTTTTTTTTTTTTCGATTCACGTGATGTTGACAGAATGAAAGAGGTGGAACTCAACCGCAACAGCAGTGCAACGTCTGGCAAGTCTAAAGCGTAGACACATTTAAATTAACTTGTAATATATCTTTACAAAAGGCAGCGGTTGCAAGCGTGTTTTAATATAATGTTTAAATAATTACATTTGCGAGGCAAATGTGAAGTATATTGAGTATACTTTATAAGCCATCACCCAGAAACTAATATTAACAGTGTGGAGTGGAGAAGCAATCATCAGTAACGTTAGTAAATGAGACCCACTGACTAACACACACTGCAGCACTAAACAAGTTAAACCAACTCTGTAGTGGAGAAAAACTCTCTGCTCAGTCAGTCTCACCTCAAAAACCCTGTGCCTGCTCTGCTTAGTGTCTTGGCTTTTCCCAGAGCTAATATGCAGCAAAGAGGCTGCTCTCTACTGATGTTAAAACAACACAGCGGAGCATGCCGCTTCCCCGTCATTTCGTTATTTCCATACGGGCAGGAGACTGTAAGGTGCTTTCAAATTTATTTATTAATTTGGTTAACTAAAAACAAATAAAATAAAAATAAAAAAAAGGCTGTGGATTATTATTCATTATTCAATAGCACATAGTAATTAAAGACTACTTCCAGAAAAATATTACAACATGCAATATCCCACAATTCAGGGGAATGAAGTCGCTCAGATTGTCAGTTCAGCTCAGCGAATGAGGAGAAAAACACAAGTGAGTAAAGTAAACAAAGAGCTAAAGTCAAGAGGGAGTGAGGTCAAAATAAACTTGTTATTGTTCACTGGTGCACGGTAAATAAACTCCCTTCCTTTAACATTGGATTGTGTTGTTAATGTGCTAACTGGCTACCTAGCATCACAACGGTCTTCTGGTTTCCATTTTTGAATGATGATTACAGATGACTGCCATCTGCTGGTATGGAGAGTTATTTCCTCTCACGCAGGTGCAGAAGGTACATGCTGATTGGCTGTTGGCTGTAGTCTTTGGGGTGTGTTCATGTGCAAACTTTCTGGCCGAGACAAAGGCGATGTGACGCAACACAACAGTCATTCATTTCATTGCTGCTAGTTTTTGAAGTCGGTTTGGAGGGTCTGGGCCTCAAAAAGCTCTGCTTTGTTCCCCACTCCCATCGTCCTAAAATAGCCTACTAGTGGCGCTCATAGTGACAAACTCACACAGAATAATTAACAATTTTGAAGTTCCTCTCAGATGTAAGGAGTGTTTTTGTTTCATTCTGTTTGGTTTTAAAGCACGTTTACTGTTTTTGTTCACTCTCAGAGCTCTTACAGTGTGGTTTGCTGCAGCTGCAGTAGCAGCTGTCCTTGGTGAAAACGCTCTGATGAGCTCGACACTTCCTGCTCAGCAGCACACACACAGAGAATAGCTTTTGAACGCAGTGGTGCATTTAGCAGATAAAGAGACAGATATTTCCCGTAGTTGATCAGGGGATCCACAAAACAATATTATCACAGTGCTTAACTCACAATACAAGATTATTGCGATGTTAAATATGTTGCAATGTGCTGAGTATTGTGATAAAATATAGTGTGATATACTGTGCAGCAAAATGTATCTAGTGGACTGAAAAAGCAGTGATATATTACTCTAGAAGGCTACCTAAAGTTTAATTTGTATTTGTCATATTAATAATCTATATTATTAAAAAAATAGATATTTGGCACTGTGTGATGATACGATATTACCACGCAAAGTTATTGTGATACTATGCCGTATTGATTTTTCCCCCCACCCCTAAAAAATAGTACAGACAAGCAACAGAGTTAAAAGAGAGTGAATATCAGATTCATATATTTACGAGGTTGATACAAACAATTGAATGATCAAATTGCTTCATAACTCCTGCATGTTTAAAAAAAACTGTTTGATAATCTTGTCATATCAACCTTAAAAGCTGTGTCAGATGTGTTTAAAATGTGTGTGGCAAAAGTGGCAAAAAATAAAAATTGCAGCTTTAAGTTTACATTTAGTCTTTATAAAATATTACTGGTCTGTTGTGATTTATTTTTTTCCACATTACTCTTAAACCCATGCTAACATCTGTTTACTTCTCCTGTAGTCACTGTAGTTATTGTTCACTTCTGACAAAGACTTTTGGTTGTTTGAAGATGAGACAGTAAAATGGTATTTCTGAGTGACAACCTCAGTCTCCTGATTGTTGTGGAATAAAGAGACTATGTTTGTGGGTGCAATAGTTCCTCAACAATCTACAGTGACCAGCTCAGTGTGACTCAGTGTTCCTACACTGTGTCTTTTCTCTGCTCAGTCAATCGGTTTCCCAAAACACAAATTGATTTTTATCAGTAAAAGAGCCTCCAGTATGATATATTATATTCCACAGTAGGTTTAGCTTGTAAAATCTGTGGTCTGAGATTTCAAATAAGCAAAAGAAACTTGTCATATTTGCACCACACCCCCATTTACTGAGTGATCTCTGTGACAAACTGATGAACTAACCTGTCCTCCCTGCAGCTGATTCCAGAGCAAAGTTCACTTTAGCTTCTTCTGCGGGAAGACTCTCAGTAGCTCCCTTTTCTGTCTGTGTCACTGCTGCTGTCAACTCACTCATGTATCAGCAGGCCAGCTTCTCACTCCTCTCTCTCCTTCCTGTTTTTCCACGATGGTGGTGGCAGGCCACTGCCTTCCTGTGAGCACACTTCCCTTCACCAGACACTGGCTTTATGGGTAATGGAGTGTCTTCTGATCTGGGACTACGGTGATTTTTGTGGTTCCTCCGTCACCAATCACAGATGCCACTGCTGACTGTCTGAATAAAACAGTTCCATCTGTCTCTGCTCTACTTCCTGTTGTTTTTGCGGGCCTCGCTGCACTCCCTCTACCAGCCTCCGGGGTGCCCCTGTTATTTCCTGGAGCTTCTGTTGATTGTCTCGTGGTTGTTGCAGTTCTCTTTTTGTTTTTCCTGTTACATCCAGAAGGAGAGTTGGCAGCTGTACTATTCTGTTCTCCCCCAGTTTCCTGCCTCTGACAAAGACTTCCACTGGTATGGGATGTATGAGTGACAACAGCAGACTCCTCCCTTGGTGCTCTCTCTTTCAGTGACGGAGAACTTCCCCGTTCCTCTGTTGCCCTGCTACACTTCTCTATGGTTACCACACACAGGCCTATGCTCTGCTTGCTCTCTTGTTGGCTGTTAGAGCAGCGCTGCCTCCCTCAGGCAGGGCTGAGCAGGGCATGTGTCATTGGAGAAGGACCAGCAAAGGCTGAATTTCCCTGCAAGAAGGAAGACAAGAAAGACCAATGAAATGTTGCTGGAAAGATACCAATTCACACACTGCCTCACTAGCATTTCAAAACAACAAAGTTGAATTCTAACTGAAACAAAATCTATTGGTTTGGTTAGGCTGGTGTGAAAGCTGTCAATCAAACTCTGGTGTGGCCTTAACAACCAGGGCCCCGTTTCCCAGAGCCTTCGTAGCGCTACGTGTATTGTAAGTTGTATCTTAAGGTCTCTCTTAAGCTCACGGACTGTTTCCCAGAGTCTCCTTAGTGAAGATATATCTTCTGAAAGGTATATCTTAAGAAGGGTGGTCTGAACCACTCGTAAGCGAGTGATGTGCTCCGTTCATCCTGTCACAGTTTTAGCTTTATTAGGCCAAAATTATGCTTTTTTTTTTTTTTTTTTTTTTTAAAGATTCTTTTTTTGTGGGCTTTTGCCTTTAATGGATAGGACAGTGTGTGAGATGGGGAGACAGAGAGAGGAAGAGAGTGGGGACTGACACGCAGCAGAGGGTCGCAGGCTGGACTCGAGCCCGCGACCGCTGCAACGATGTGGTGCCTTTGTACATGGGGCGCCGGTGTTGCACTATCCACTACGCTCCCGACGCCCCCAAAATTATGCTTTTTAAATGGACAGTTGCAGTAGCCTATAATTCACCTTCGTAGAGCGCTGAGGTACATTGAAACTGGGAAACGGGGCCCTGGAGGTTTAAACTCATGTCTCACAGAGTTGGTGATAAAAACTAAACTTTCATCCCTGTCAGAGAAAAATGACATTCACAGATAACTGAGCCTCCTACCTGCCTGTCAAGCATCGTTTCCCAGTTTCGATTAGCGCTCTACGAAGGTCTCTAAGCTACTACCTTAGGTAAGGAACTTCTTTGAGTGTTTCCCAAACTGTCCCTTAGTGGGTGCTGGTAAGGAGAGCTGCTAAGCTATATCGTAAGTTGGAGCTGTCTGTCACCACGGTGCTCAAAGTGCATTAATCGATGCTGCACGCATCGATTGATCTCATATAAGGTAAATAGCCTAAATGACGCTGTAATATAAAGTATTACCATAATAATTTTACCGCCATCAAATATTATAGCCTATCATAAATGAGACTATGCCATTTACAGAACATCTGCTCATCTATTTGAAGCCTACTCCACACATCCACGGGTATTTTAAAAAAGCAGCACTTTAAAACTAAATTTCAGTCCAGACTAGCGTTTTGGCACAGTTTCAGGAAAAATCTCTGTCATAATACGCCTGAAGCATATCACATTAAAAAATGACTTACATGCACATCCCGTTACAAACAAGGAGACTAATGATGAAGTAGAAAAACGTGATTATTGCTCACCAATAATGCATTTGTTATTGAAACATTCATAACAGCATACGTGATTGTCTCTCTTTTTCCATCACTGCGGTTCAATGCCAGTTTGTGTCTTACATATAAGTTTTTCAACATCAGTTCTGTCAATGTACAGACTGCAAATCTGTTGTTGTCGCACAGTAGGCACCTGTAGCAGCAGCATATCCATGTTTCATTGCTCTGTGTGTGTCAGGGGGTGTCCAGTCAATATGGATGTTTACTTTTTGGGCAATGGGGATATATAACTTTTACTGCCAAAAACAAGTAAAAACAAAGAGATCGTTAGTTTTATTACTATATTTGAAAAAAAAATCTTAATGATGATGGTTTAATAATTTTGTATTAATTTTTACCTATTTTTGGGGGCCCTCGGAATTGTCCTAACTTTCCCACCTATATGGCGCCACTGTGTGTGTGTGTGTGTGTGTGTGTTTGTGTGTGCCGTAATTAATCGCAGGTGTATGCAATTACCAATATAATGTAGCCTATTGCGCACTGGGATTGGTTCATGTAGCCTATATAAGCTCACGGGTAGCTGCACATTTGTGCAACATTGTGACAGGATGGCACTGAGGACATCAAGCAGACTTAATCTTGTCCTTATAAAATGATTAAGATAAACCAAATGGCTACGTGGATGGTGACGCCTTTGATTCAGTTGACTGAGCACAACGATACGCTGTAACGCAACCATAATCTCGTCTACAATGAAGCAAACAGAGGCGACGCGCTTGATCGCCCATACAGCTGGTGTCGCCCGCTTGATTAGTTTCCATTAGCCTAATTAGACTTCAATTTGATCAATTTGTCAAGTATCTGTCAGATATTCAGTATATAGTGGTAGGGTAGCTACAGCCTGTAGCCTCGTCAGAAAAAACATATCCTCAGTTAGTTAGTCTAAACAGACCGAGGCGGCCTTCAGCCACGGGAGGGGCTGTTGAAGACGGTGAAGAGGGAAACGCAAACCTGACTGACACTGTAAAGATGAGCAACTGGGGAGAATTACGTGCCTTCCTTGCCCTCACAAATGAAGAGGCCATTAACCGTCAGATGACGGGAACGGTGAACAACGGGCCGACTTATGAGAGAATCGCCTAAGGACTGACAAGCCGCGGCTTCCCTCCCACGTCACTGTTTACGCCACACGCTGAGAGAATTTTGTTACTTACATTTTGTTACTTGCTCATGCCCCCCATTGCCCCGAAAAAGGCACATTCTGTATGAACAACAGTAGGTAGGCGGCATTTTGCCGCACCCTCTGATTTTGCTTTTATACTGCCAATGCTGAAAGAAGACTGATTGGGCTTTATTGCAAATTTGCACCATTCCTATCTAAAAGGGGCTTTAGACATAATGACAGGTCGGCTCTGATACTGAGCTTTATACTGTAGGTACTGGCAGATGTAGGTTTTCAAAAAGGGACCTGTGCAGGACTCTGGTTTGTGGTACCAGTTTACTACAGAACCAACCCAGTGAACAAACTAATGTCTGCAATCTGACAGCAGTATAGTGGTAGTGAAAATACACATGTATATTTGTACAATGCCTAAGTGTTTACCACAGTTGTCGGCCAACATTTCACAAGTTTGAAATGTGTTTGTGGTCCAACCCTTTGCGCTACATAGCCAACATGGTGACCACTGAGGGTGAGAAGTGTCCAAAGGTCCACACTTTTTGACCATTATGAGTGCAACATCCAGGTACTTACAGTGCACTGCATTCTGCCATACTTCTTAGTGTGAACGCACTTATGCACTCAAAATAGTAAGTATAAGTATAGAAGTCCGATTTGAGACACAGCAATAGTATTGGTCATTATACAAGATGATGTCCATATGCCTTCTATTTGCTGTGTATGTTTTAGTCACATGGATCTAAACGCCATACCTACAGCTAACATGTTCCCCTCAATAACTACAGAGATACCACATGGAGACAGCAAGAGCTGTGACTGGTCAGTTTGGCTTGCTAGTGTTTTCTCTTACACAATTTTAATGCTGGTTATTATTTAGAGAAAAACACACATTTAACAAAGACACCGCAATCACCACTTCCTATCACAGTGAAAGAAAGAATGTTAACGCAACAACTGCACACGATACTCTCATTCAATAATGACCCAAAGTAGACCATCTCAGCATTGCTCGGTATCACAGTGAATGAAAGAATGTCAGCACCGTTACTGTCTGTTGTGGTGGTAATCTGAATGAAAATATAGAAATGCACCCTACCTTTAAAAAAAATTGTTGTATTGTTGTTGATAAATTGTTATTGTGTATTCACAGTTGTGTCTCTCCGAGTACAGTTTCTTGCTTTTAGCATTGAAGCACTTTAGGAAAACCCTATGAAAATGCTGTCAGGTCACTCTCTATTAGCTCTTTTGGCTATACCAAATCAAACCATGCTATGCCAATTTGCATGCTTTGTCAGTTTTAACATGCTGAGCCGCGCTGGAGGCCATCTATAGAGTAGGGCCAGAAGTGCACCGGACAGCCTCCAAGCGTGTAGTGGTGACATTATTATTATTATTATTATCATTATTATTATTATTTTAATGCCAGCAGCAGCCAACCACCCCTTCTCCCTCTGAAACAAGTGTGGGTTTAGCAAAACTCAACTCACATCTGTCTCTGCAGGGGACCAGAGAGAAAGAAGTTTTTAAATACTCTGTGTGTCTAGCTTTCAGTACCATTGTAGCTTCTAACTGTATCTCTGTCGTCTGGAATTTGGTTTCTCTCCTGCGTCCTGTTTTTACTTTTGATATCTGCTTTACTTTACTGTTTCATGTTTGCGTTCAACAACATAGGAGTCGTGTTAAGTTACTGCTGATAAAAAACTCAATATTTCCCTATTATGCTGCTTCACAATAAATGTTTTTACTAATGGTGGGAACCGATTTAAAAAATGAATCTAATTAATTAGAGGCTTTGTAATCAATTAATCTCAGTTAATCGTATTTTTATCAAATAGCAATATTTGACACAATAAGCAAAGTATTTCAATTCAAATAAATTTTGGTTGACGACTGAATCAATGAATAGACATATACCTGAACCTGAACAACAAAAATGTTTATTTTTCATCTATATTCATGTGCAATTTTCTTTTGTCTACTACATTCAGACTAGTGCAAACTCAAGGTGCAATTTTAAGACTTGTAAACTCAAGCACTTTCAGTGTCTTGAAAACATTATTTCAAGTAAATTCCAGGAAACCCTGACCACTAAAAATGGTACAAAAACAAAACATCTTTGGCTAAGTAAACAGACCAAGAGATTAATAAAAAGTGCCATTTCTTTTTTTTTTTAAGATTATTTTTTGGGCTTTTTGCCTTTAATATACAGGACAGTGTGAAATGGGGAGACAGAGAGAGTGGGGGGACGACATGCAGCATAGGGTTGCAAGCCGGAGTCGAACTCACGACC